TTGAGTGGGTACAAAGCAAATGGCTCTGGAACAATGGTGCACCGATAAGAACATTATAACAGACCAGAGTCAACTTAAATAATCATGTATAGCCATCAAGTAAATGGCTCTGGAACAGAAGCGCAGGCATAAGAAAATTAAAACAGACCAGAGTCAACTTAATCATAGCCATCGATTGGCTCTAAAACAATATTGCAGGTATAAGAACATAAGAACAAACGTATTTAACGAGAAAATTCTGGCTTACATACATGTAGCTGGCGAGAAGGGATATACCAGGGTCTACTAAGCCAAAACCAATTGCAACAACTTTGAATTTTCAGCTTACCAGAGACCTGGCTCACTCGTCCCTGACGCATTAAATTTTAAGCGATTTTTTCCGGGACGCAATGACAGATTTCAAGATCTCACTGGCGAGATCTCTTTCCCATTTGGCACACGGCTTTTTTGGCTCGTGCTTGGATCGATTTTTGAATAACACTTTTTTTTTTATCAGACTTTCCTACGCTGATCAGGGATAATCGACCTATATGCTCAGAAAAGCATGAACTACGTCTGATTTTAATTCAAAATACTCGTGCCTACCTGACCATTGTCGAGGAAGGCACATTTTCTGCGCGTCCGTTATTTCATCTTCACTCAACCATACACTGTAGATTTGCACGCAAGCAATGCTTCCACTGAACGCACCGGGAGATTCAGGTCCATAACCAAGCCATATATCATGGTGAGTCTCCAACTCGATAAAACCTGGCCAAAAAAACTTATAGTGTTGTGCTCCGTCTGTACCTCTCACCAGAAAATGTATCAAGCCAGTCGAATGATGATACGAAATCCCAATGAAATACCAAGTTGAAGTTTCTAAAGTAACAGATGGAGAAAATGAAAGAGGATTTCCATCACAATTTGGGTACACGTCAAGTTGAAGTTTGTCAACATGAAGTGCTAACAGAATGGCCAATCTTCCTTCAGATGAGAATTGCCAGATCGTCTGTTGTCCTTTTAAAGTTTCTGCGTTAAACCAGGTTAACAGCGTTATAGAATTGCTTTTGAAGGTTCCGTTGTTTGGCAAGCGCACATAACTGGATGGAGTTCCGCGGAATCTGTAAGCTGTGTCTGGTTCGCCAATGTAGCCTGGGCCCAGGGTCGTGTCATTTTCAAGTCCAGGTGAATTCCCGCAAGAGCTGCTGTCATTAAGACCACTAATGTCATCCAGGCGGTAAAAGCCAACCAGATGTGTGTTACCTTGGGATAAGGAATGCCAAATGATATTAAGAAAATTTTTGAAAATACAACTGATTGTAAAGTGCCAATGACAACTGGACTGTTTAATTTACAAAATGATCTTCATTTGGGAAAAAAAACCAAAGCTCAACATACAGGATGACTCGATTCGTTCGACAGTATTCATCTGAGCCATTCCGCACGTTTAACTGTTGACACGTAAGAACTCTTAATTATACGACGTATGTTACAGTTTAATATATTCTTAAGCCCTTCACACTACAAATTAACGTCTCGGCCGTTGTTTTCTTTTCGCTACTTGATAATGGAGTCAAGATGACTTCGAAACGTTGTACTTTACTTTCGCTTCCTTACGTGAAAAAGACATTACCACGCTGAATTTGTTCCGGCATCTCATTTTATGAGGCTTACGTTACAATGCTATCCAAAAATGGAGGAGAAGGTCATTTCAAGTTTTTTTTATAAATAACTATTGCAGATGTCGCAATACACATCACCCCTCTCCCCCCCTCCCCCACGCATGTTAGTCAAATTTGATGACAGTTATATATATATGTATGACTTTTCAGCTATTATTCTCTTGCATATTTAAATACATCTATTCCTTCCCTGATAATTAAATTCTTATTACACCTTCAGTTAACATAAACTTTATACTATTGTAAAGTCATCTTCACTTTAAATCTGCTTAGCTTATTCTACAGTGCAATAACATGTCTTACTATGCAGATATTTGAATTAAGTATTGAAATGTAAATTAGTATTATATCCTGCTTTTACATTGCGATGGAACACTTTTATCGATCCCTTACCTTCTGTCGGTGGAATCAAACAAACGCTGTCCCAAAGCGCAAAGAAAAAGCTTAGAGTCAATCGCTGATTCTGCAAGACAATCATTGCACAAATGACATGAGAATAGAATAGATTTCTGTTGATATCCGTTGGCAAAGACATATGAATTTAGTATACACCTTGCACTGCCAAACATACGTACCATAATTATCGTGGTAGAATTAAAATCAGCTTTATCGACTCAAGAACTTCATGTCTGTCAAACAATTACGCGAAGAATTATTTTCGCATTATGGTTTGTCTTCGCGAATATTGATAAACAAATTCACTTTACGAGGTTCAATTCTAGCATTTTACTGAATAAAAAAATCATGTAACATATGGTGTATGATCCATGGTTGACAGGTGTTAGGCTAATTAAAGTCCCCTTCCCCAAGCAATAACTAATAAACAAAACTGTAACCACACTAACAATAGACTGTTTTCGATATATTAAAATTCAGCTTGGCAGTGTGGCTTAGAGGACACAAACAAAGGGAATTGAACGACATGGTTATTCATTTCTTTTGTTTGTGTCCTCTAGGCTTCAATATCAAGCTGAATTTTAATATATCGAAAGTCACCTATTCTTCTCACCCTCCGGGGGAGATCTCTGGTAAAATCTGTTTGATTGTGAGCTGGCTTAGTTTATATAAAAACCTCGAACCCAGTCACGTGTCACCTTCCTGTGAGCGGAAATTTTTTCATGGCGGAATCGGAAAACTATGAAAATTACCTTATAAGACAACCTTTTGCTCATTACGTAAAGGGATACGTTACTTATCAACTTGAGTTAACAAGGCACCAAGAATTACGGAAAAGTTCTAGAATCTTTATTCATGAGCCCCTGGCTCAGGAGAATGGGCGACCACGACTCGCTGTGTTGCGACATTAAATTCTTATTACTAAATAAATTGTTATATAGGTAACCAGAGAGTTTAATTAGCGAAAGTTCGTTTCCTTTTGAGAATTACAAAAGTTTTCAAGGTAGTTTTGAACCAATGTGTTGATCTCAAATGAAACTTTTAATTTAACTTTTTTGTTAGTTTTTCAGAGCGTGCATTTAAGGATTTCTAAATAGGTGCTGTGTGTCGCAAACGAAATGACACCTTTTCTTTTCAATTCAACAGAGCCGAGGAAAGCTATCTTCAAATATTTGCATAGTCATCGAAGATTTCCTTAACGTGAAACGTGGTTTACATTGAGGTTCTTTGGGGGTGCTTTGTTGAACTGGGGTAAACACTGTTGTTTCTTTGTTAGCGTGGGAAATAAGCATATTATTTACCTACTGTCAGTTACGTTGCAGTCATACATGCTGAGAACCCATTAGCGTTTCTGGAACATATATTTCTCAATATCACAACTAACTTATTTAACAGTTGAACTACAGGAATTTATTTCATAAAAATACTTCACTCCTAGGTGTGCACGGTTATTGCTGGAACAAGTCTGTACGGTAATAATTCAGAGATCCAAACATCTCAAGACCTTACTCAAACTGATGCGCATTGTCATAATTACCCGTGCCGCAATTCAGACCGTGTACAGCCTCTTCTGGTAAAAACCTGAACTAAAATGTCACTGTCGAATTCATATCCAATGGTTTTATAGGCAAAAAAGGCCGCATATCAGTTGCATTCCTTTCTAACTCATGTTAATGGGAACAACTGAATTCCTTGCCGTCTGCTGAAAAAGATCCTCTTTCAGAGTAATTCGTCCTCTGAATGCCTTTCCTCTTTGTCGATGACAGGAAGCGGTTGCGAACACTATCACCCTCCACTGATAAAATAACCAATAGCTAGGTTTCTATAGACCGCTCTGTTTATCATATTTAATTTCTAAACTTGTCCACTGTCTTGATCAATCTTAATCATGTCCATGCAACTTTCCTATTTTGTTTCCTCTGACGTTGTTGTTGACAATTTTGCTGTACCTCCCGCCTATATTTATTTACTAAGTGCAAGTAAACTTCCCGGAAATTGTCATAAAATTGTTGAACTGGTTCTTGCAGCTCTTTTCTTCTCGTCTTAGGACTTGGATCTCCTTTTGTTTGGTTTTCTAAAAAAAAGATAACAAAATGTCAACATTTCATAACTTCTTGTCGTTTGTTAGGCATTTGATCTACTGTTATAGTTCTGCGAGTTCTACGGTGCGGTATTAATGTTTCGCTCAAAAATCTTAATGATTCTTTCCATGAACCACGAGTCCCCATGTCTGGTGAGTGAACCCTAATAAACGGAACTATATTCTAAACGCCACCGCTTAATGCAGGTTTTTGGTTTGGTTTAACATTTGAACGTAAACGTCATTACCTAATTTAATTCTTGGCTCAAATTTATTGTGTTATTCGTGCAANATGACATGAGAATAGAATAGATTTCTGTTGATATCCGTTGGCAAAGACATATGAATTTAGTATACACCTTGCACTGCCAAACATACGTACCATAATTATCGTGGTAGAATTAAAATCAGCTTTATCGACTCAAGAACTTCATGTCTGTCAAACAATTACGCGAAGAATTATTTTCGCATTATGGTTTGTCTTCGCGAATATTGATAAACAAATTCACTTTACGAGGTTCAATTCTAGCATTTTACTGAATAAAAAAATCATGTAACATATGGTGTATGATCCATGGTTGACAGGTGTTAGGCTAATTAAAGTCCCCTTCCCCAAGCAATAACTAATAAACAAAACTGTAACCACACTAACAATAGACTGTTTTCGATATATTAAAATTCAGCTTGGCAGTGTGGCTTAGAGGACACAAACAAAGGGAATTGAACGACATGGTTATTCATTTCTTTTGTTTGTGTCCTCTAGGCTTCAATATCAAGCTGAATTTTAATATATCGAAAGTCACCTATTCTTCTCACCCTCCGGGGGAGATCTCTGGTAAAATCTGTTTGATTGTGAGCTGGCTTAGTTTATATAAAAACCTCGAACCCAGTCACGTGTCACCTTCCTGTGAGCGGAAATTTTTTCATGGCGGAATCGGAAAACTATGAAAATTACCTTATAAGACAACCTTTTGCTCATTACGTAAAGGGATACGTTACTTATCAACTTGAGTTAACAAGGCACCAAGAATTACGGAAAAGTTCTAGAATCTTTATTCATGAGCCCCTGGCTCAGGAGAATGGGCGACCACGACTCGCTGTGTTGCGACATTAAATTCTTATTACTAAATAAATTGTTATATAGGTAACCAGAGAGTTTAATTAGCGAAAGTTCGTTTCCTTTTGAGAATTACAAAAGTTTTCAAGGTAGTTTTGAACCAATGTGTTGATCTCAAATGAAACTTTTAATTTAACTTTTTTGTTAGTTTTTCAGAGCGTGCATTTAAGGATTTCTAAATAGGTGCTGTGTGTCGCAAACGAAATGACACCTTTTCTTTTCAATTCAACAGAGCCGAGGAAAGCTATCTTCAAATATTTGCATAGTCATCGAAGATTTCCTTAACGTGAAACGTGGTTTACATTGAGGTTCTTTGGGGGTGCTTTGTTGAACTGGGGTAAACACTGTTGTTTCTTTGTTAGCGTGGGAAATAAGCATATTATTTACCTACTGTCAGTTACGTTGCAGTCATACATGCTGAGAACCCATTAGCGTTTCTGGAACATATATTTCTCAATATCACAACTAACTTATTTAACAGTTGAACTACAGGAATTTATTTCATAAAAATACTTCACTCCTAGGTGTGCACGGTTATTGCTGGAACAAGTCTGTACGGTAATAATTCAGAGATCCAAACATCTCAAGACCTTACTCAAACTGATGCGCATTGTCATAATTACCCGTGCCGCAATTCAGACCGTGTACAGCCTCTTCTGGTAAAAACCTGAACTAAAATGTCACTGTCGAATTCATATCCAATGGTTTTATAGGCAAAAAAGGCCGCATATCAGTTGCATTCCTTTCTAACTCATGTTAATGGGAACAACTGAATTCCTTGCCGTCTGCTGAAAAAGATCCTCTTTCAGAGTAATTCGTCCTCTGAATGCCTTTCCTCTTTGTCGATGACAGGAAGCGGTTGCGAACACTATCACCCTCCACTGATAAAATAACCAATAGCTAGGTTTCTATAGACCGCTCTGTTTATCATATTTAATTTCTAAACTTGTCCACTGTCTTGATCAATCTTAATCATGTCCATGCAACTTTCCTATTTTGTTTCCTCTGACGTTGTTGTTGACAATTTTGCTGTACCTCCCGCCTATATTTATTTACTAAGTGCAAGTAAACTTCCCGGAAATTGTCATAAAATTGTTGAACTGGTTCTTGCAGCTCTTTTCTTCTCGTCTTAGGACTTGGATCTCCTTTTGTTTGGTTTTCTAAAAAAAAGATAACAAAATGTCAACATTTCATAACTTCTTGTCGTTTGTTAGGCATTTGATCTACTGTTATAGTTCTGCGAGTTCTACGGTGCGGTATTAATGTTTCGCTCAAAAATCTTAATGATTCTTTCCATGAACCACGAGTCCCCATGTCTGGTGAGTGAACCCTAATAAACGGAACTATATTCTAAACGCCACCGCTTAATGCAGGTTTTTGGTTTGGTTTAACATTTGAACGTAAACGTCATTACCTAATTTAATTCTTGGCTCAAATTTATTGTGTTATTCGTGCAACTCCAATTGTGGTTTGCAAACAAAGATTTATCGCGTAATGTAGTTTTCCCTTCAGTGGGCGTTGGATATGAGAGCAATGAGTCGCGTATAGCGCCGTGTTGGCTATAGTCATCTCTTATCCAATCAGTTTGAGTGGAATGATCGAGCATGGTATAATAGCTCATATACCATGATGGCTAAGCCAATGAAAACTCTTGAATTGCATTGTCTAATGATCCATTTTTTAAAAACATATATAACTAAAACTCAAAAACTTGCTAACTGACCTGGATGGATCTTTTTTCTTCGTCCCATTCCTATGCGCACGAGTTCCCAAATAAGTCCACAAAACACTGCACCTCCCAGTGCCTTTGTTAGCGCCATAATTGTTTGATGAAACAGCAAAGAGTTTGTAGAAAACAATTCAGTCGCTCGTTCCTCGGCTTCACTCTTTCCTGGTTGCTAGGAAATAAAACAAAATGACAAAATAGTTTTCCCTGTTCTCGCATTGCACTGGATCACCAGACACTGGTTATTTGTTAACTCATGAGACTTTTGAACTCAAAATGACTGACTGACTAGCTGGCTGGCTGGTTGGCTGATTGACTGACTGAGTAACTGACTGACTGACTGACTGACTTACTGACTGACTGACTGACCGACTGACTGACTGACTGACTAACTGACTGGCTGGCTGGCTAGCTGGCTGGCTGGTTGGTTGACTGACTGACTGACTGACAACTGACTGACTGACAACTGACTGACTGACAACTGACTGACTGCTAGCTGGCTGGCTGGTTGGCTGACTGACTGACTGACTGACTGACTGACTGACTGACTGGCTCGCTGAATGGCTCGCTGGCTAGTTGGCTGACTGATCGATCTATTGATTGTTCTTTTGCCTGATTGATTGATTGATTGATTGATTGATTGATTGATTGATTGATTGATTGACTGATTGATTTGCCTGTAGATAACATGGTAGCATACCTCTAACGGAGTTGTACTGTTCTCGATGATCTTTGTTATCGTTCCAGCATTGTCTGTGATATAATCACGAATTCGACTCTGTAACTTCATCGCCTCTCCTGATAGCACCACGCCAATTCCTTTCGACAATTTGATGACTTCTTTTACTCGCAGTTGCTGAGACAGGTCTTTCATTTGACTTCCAGCAACGTAAGCATCCAACAGAAGTCCTTTCACCTCGCCTAGCTCGAGAGTTTTATAACTTTCCTGTAGAGTGTCGCGAGGCTCTGACGAAATTCGAAATTAAAACAGAAAAAAGCAGCAAGAACTTAATCAAATGTGATTAAAACTACAAAGCAGCAATTCCAAACGTGGCTATTTAATGGCTTTTAACCAGATATGTGCTAAGATAAACTTTCAGGTTTCAATAGCGATAGAAAAATTAAGAAATAAAATTATCTTCAGTATGAAGATGGTTTCTCTATGCTCATACTATCAGTTAGCGTTTGATTTATTTCCACAAAGTGACAGAAATTTTCATGGTTAGGGCATGTAAGCGTAAATGATGCCTACGTGGTTTATTTTTTCAATATTCGAGAAAAAAATCTTGCTAACCTTACTTCTAAAGAAAAGAAAAGAAAAAGCTAGCTGTTAAATAAACATTTGTTTTTTCTATAACGAGGATACTCACTGACTAGGGCGTTCCTCCTGACTCCAAGTTGATGAGCAGGCGAGTCTGCTAAGGCTGTCACCTTAAAGGCCAAAAAAAAAAAAGAAATGGTCGTGAATTTATTTCGGTCTAACTTAGCAGGATGGTGGGAGCTGTGCACGCCATATGGCTAAGGTGATGAATTCCTGGTCAATGCCCTAGCCTGAGTGGGTCGGAATTTGAAATTTTGAATACCATACTCGTATTGTATACTTCCACAGTTACTCTGAATACAATGGTTTGCACATGGATACCACCTATTTTGGGATAACTTGGCAAACTTTTGTGTTGAAACCCTTTGAGAAAATGGTATGCCATTAAGTGAGAGTTGTGTTACTCAAAGTTGCTTCGTGCTACATGTATGAAGGCCGGAGTACATTTTCGCTTAAGCCATTACACGCAATTCTTAACTTGTAACGATTACAAAGAGTTAAATGGGAAAGTGCTAAGTAATTACACGTGTACCTTCGTTCCATATAAAATGATCTCGTTGTCCAAAGTGCTGAATGTCAGAGAAGTAGCTATTACTCCAACGAGTATAGACGCCATTACTAGGCCGGTTATGGTCCAAACAACAGCGAATAACCTTGCGCACACCCCAACAGGAACTTTGTCTCCGTACCTGATAAATAAACACAAACACCCAATGATCAATTTGAAGAATACAATAATATATAGTCACTGTTTAACAAATGCAAACCATTATTATCAGGTTTCTAATGAATTAGTTCATCGTTAGAGGAATGGTTGTGAAGCCCAGCAAACATGAAAGGATCAAACAAAGAAGGCATGCTTTATGTTGAAAGGTCCCTGACCACCCACAATCTTCTGTTTTGCGTTCATACACTATGTATGTTTACGTACCCAGAACGCTCCTATTGATTTTTTTTCCCCAGTCAGTAGTAGACAACAATTGTGTTTTGTTCACAGTCACGGCCAAAAACGTGAAAAAAAGTACAACAAAGAAATCTCCCTCAATTAACTATGATGAGGTTCATCTCAGTGTGAGCTCTAAGAAATAATGCTTTAGCAGTTTTGCCGTGGTTAAACGAACTGCTCTGGCACAGTTCCCTTTGTTGTTCACGCCAAAAAACTTTCCAGTTTCAAGGGAATACTGTTACTATCGTTTCATGAGCTATTCTTACAGTTTTCTAAATTGTCGCTCGTTTTAAAAGTTTGCAAATGTTGAGGCCACAAAAATTGGGAATAACGTCGAATATTGCGTTTGACCGATGTGCAGGGAACAGTGCTTCTTTGACGTCATGAGAGTTGAAATTTGCACAGCTTTATGCTTAATTTAAAAACAGGGAGGCTGTTGTAGTCTCTGATTAAAAAAGAATGAATACAATAATTCCGTACCCGACAGTTGTCATGGATATAAACGAAAACCAAAAACCTTCACCGGCTCCTTTCGTAAATGACTTTGAGAAACCGTCCGATTTCCAGCTTGAGTCCTTCGTAAAAAAGAAAAGCGAAAAGAAAACCTTGTTTAGCGATGAATCCGTGAGACTTAATGACATCTAAAACATCAGATATCAAGGCAGGCTATTGACCTAATGTCGTAGTCAGTAACGGGCACGACATGGACATGTTTTCCCTTCCAACCCAGGTACCACACGTAATTTTTCAAATTAAATATCAAAGAGTAACCAACGTTCCCATAAAAGGAAGCAAACCAAGGGATCCTGAATGACTAGACTAAACGACTTCTAGGCTAAATAGTGATTTTAATTAAGCCTACGGGAGAAATACTTACAAGAGCCCAAACGATGATACCGGCTGCGTAGGCCATGATTAAACAAAACAAGTACAGTGGAAGATGCTGGAAGATTGTAGATATGGCACTTGTGCTACTTCCATCTTGACTGACAGTAATGAAAGCGATTCCAGGAGATTCGACTAACGGAACAAAAACGTATTCCTTTTGGAATTTGGCATCGTCCATGGCCCCTATGATAGGAAAGCTAACTTGTGTTCTATGATCGACATCCTCGCGAACGGCGTTGATGGTTCTTTTAAAGGCAGCCTTCCCTTTTCCACTGTTGGTGAAATTTAGGACTGTACGTCCATACCCGTTTGTGCATAGACCGCATGACTTTAACAGCATTTCCTCCACAAGAGTTCCAATAATCCCTTGTGGTGAGTGATTGTTCACTGGTTTTGTAACATATGGAGGAAGCTCTGCCCAGTTAGTATAAAGGACTTTGGGGCAAGGGCAGGTTTCTGTTGGAACAAAGACAGGCATGTATGATGTTGTTATACCCAACAGAACACACATGCAAAATGTGCCTAAGTTTGACTTCATCAGAAAAGGCCAAATGAACGCTCTATTTAACAAATAGATACCATGTGGCCGTGCGTCTGTTCAGTAACAGATCACAGATGACATCAAACTTGAAATCTATTCGTTTTATATAACAAAGGAAAAAGAATTGTTAATGACGTCCTCTAGGCATCTGTCGTTCAATAGATCATAAGTAAGGACCAATCAAAATGCGAGAATAATTCGATACATTATACAATGGCAGTTAAGCCTTACCCCCAGTTACTCGAAAGGACGCTATTCCATCTCCCTTAGCGGTAAAACCAGCCACTCGAATTATGTAGGAAGTAAAACTTTCCAATCCTTTGAGTCGCGTGAGTAAATTTCCTGGATAATCCACGGTAACTTTAGTCACCGCAGCACTCTCTTTTAGTGGTTTATCAGCTTTTTTCAATGGTGTGTACATGACGTGGTAACCGAGTAGTCTGCCCATCACATGTTCTTCTGGTATGGCTGTCCACGAGATTGACAAGGTAGAGGAGTCTATCATGTCTGACACATTCACGGACGGTGCCACCATAGGCACTAGAAACAACATAACCAAACTTTGATCGTTCAAACTCGTACTTCAAATATTCTACTATCAAAGTCCAACCATCATGAATGTATAAACCCTAGTGCGGGACCATTTAAATGAAAGCTACTGAGTAGTACTTTCGTGTGGTACTGTTTATTATGCTGTGCAAGGTGGTTCTAACTTTTAAGTCTGTGGATGAAACTCTAATGAGTCACCATTCAAGTGAAAGCTATTGAGCAGTACTTTCATATGGTACTGTTTATTATGCTGTACAAGGTGGTTCTAACTTTTTACTCTGTGGATGAAACCCTAGTGTGTGACCATTCAAATGAAAGCTATTGAGCAGTACTTTCATTTGGTACAGTTTATTATGCTGTACAAGGTGGCTCTAATTATAACTTCAAGTCTGTGGATGTAGCCCAAGTGTCTGACCATTCAAATGAAGGCTAGTGAGCACTACTTTCTGTTAGTACTATTTCTTTCTTGTAGTATTATTTATTATGCTGTAAAAGGTGTTTCTAAATTATAAATTCCAGCTCATCATATCCCTGCATGGACATACTCCTATTAAATATCTTTTAAGTGCCGATGGCATGTCGTTATTTGTCTGACTCCCTATATCTCTTATAACAATGGACGACAAACTTTGATTGGGTCACATTTAGATAAGTTTTCTGGCCTACTAATCCATTGCCAAACACTTATAACATAAATATTGACCCTGGCGAACAAGCTAATTCTAATCATCATCCATAAAAGAATCAGTTAACACACCTCCTTCTTCCATTTTGATCTCTTTTGCCTCCCCTGGAATGCCATTGCCGTTGCTATTGAAAGCCAGAACTCTCACCATGTACACCATTCCCTCCAGCAGATTCTTCAGATGCAATGACGAAGTCTGCTCGCCAACAGCCAAGGTACTCCACTCCCCACCCTCCTTAAGGGGACGGTAGGCCACTCGGTATCCATTGATTGGCTCATCACCAGGTGTTACCCAGAATACTTTGAAGCTGTTGGTACTAGTCAGGTAAATCTTGGTGATATTGGGAGTCTGATTTGGGACTGTGATGAAAAAAATTCCAATATAATAAGCTTATATCAAGGAGTGTCTAGGATTTGGGAGTTAGAATTTGGCATGTGAGATTTGAGAGTACGATTATTTGGTTTAAATCGAAAATATTGTCTTGATATTTAATTTGTTTCAAAAGTTTTGAAATATAATTATATATATTCTTTATTTATTTATTCTTTATCATAATTACTGAATGTTTATCGTTAAGAGTTCGTCAACAAGTATATTTGTTGGAGCTAGTAGCCTGAGTAGCATTGTCCTAATTTTAATCAGAAGTAAGAGAAGGTGTACTAACTTCCGGTAGCTGAGAGGGAAACAGAGGAAATCGCTAGGTTAGCCAATCTTCCGTCCTTTTCAGAAATTTCCGTGAACGTGAGTATCTCGAGGGAGTCAACTGCTTTGAAAATAACTGTAAAATTGGCAATAATACTTCCTTTCCTGTACGAGGAGGATAAAAAGGTATGTCAATATTGGCCTCTCTATGGGAAAAACAAATTACATTTTCAAGCCCTACAATTAGGATTAGTTAAGTATGATCTACTGCATGCAATCAGACGTCGACATTAAACTCAAACGTTTCCAAAAGTTCAAAAATGATTTGAAATTTTTATTACGAAGCCAGTTGAACTGTTCTCCTGAGGCTACGTCCTATACACATCACGTTTTAACAATTAATACTGATTTACAACTTGATGGAA